GACTGCACCAACTTGCCTGCCTTGGTAGGCTGGATGGCCGCAGCTTGGCTGGCAGAACTGGCACCTGCCGCACTCACGGAGTCTACCTTGGCGCCCTTCCACACTGCAGCCACTGGCCGCCATGGAGCCACGCCAGTCTTGCCCGGTGTTGCCTCCACCGCAAAGCTTTCGTTGAACTGCCCCGCTTGATCAGTCATCCAGCCACCTGGCATGGAGCCCTGAGTTGGATGCTCGAACCAAATCCTGCTGCCTCCCCGGTGGATCTTGATGCGGTAAATGGGGTTGTTCAACATGCCCATAACGGTCCAAGTGAGTTGCACGGGCTGACAATTCTGGTTGGAATCCCAAGCGCGGCAGCAAATCTCTTCGCATGCGGTGTCCAAGACACGGCTCATGTCAACCTCCGTCTCCCACCAAGCCCAGCACCAGTGCTTGTCAGTTCCACGTGCTTCCGCGATCTCATCTTCTGGCCTTTGGAGCTCGGTGATCTCCCAAGACTTGCCCGAATCCAGGGAGATCTCCGCTCGGATGATCTTGTGACCTCCACCGGTGTAAGCGTATCCGGAGACCTTGATGGTCTTGGGCAAGTTCTTCTCTTCCACAAAAGAGTTGTGACGCGGCTCGAACATGGCTGAGTTGATGTTCATGTGGTTGATGATATACTCAGGCTTGTACCACCACCCCTCTGCATAGGCAAGATCTGCATCAACATGGGGAGGAAGGACTCGGTTGTCGAAGTAGTGATAGTGGTTCTCGGAAGGCTTGTCTGAGACCCACATGCTAGAGAGCCATTTGATCATCCGGCCACCGATGCAACCCGGCAACAATGTTCGCAGAGGAAAGCCATGGTCCGGGGTAAGCTGCTCTCCATTCTGCTTGAAAGCCAGCAGCACATCTCGCTCCCTGTCAAGCGCCCAGCCCAAATCAATGGAAGTGCCATAGGATCCCGTTTTCCCTTGAGGCAGCTCACCCAGAGGACCTTCGAAATGGACGAAGCGATGCTCTTTCGAAGGCCGTGTGATGCCAACCGCTGCCAACAAGTCGCACAGGCGGACTCCTGTCCACACGGAGTTTCCAACGGCTCCGGCTCCCCAATCGAATCCCACTGTCTTCTTGGTGAGGTTCTGCTCCTTGCGCCGGTTCCCGGCACAGATAAAGGTCACTGGGATCGACACAATGGTGCCCCATTCACCAGATGTGATTTGCTGCATGCTCAGCTCCACGGGCTTTGGGACTCCTGTGATCTTCAGTCGATGCTCGGACCAAGAGAGCTGTGGCACTGCTCCATGGTTTCGAACCACATACAAAGCAGGGGGTGTAATCCAGCCTGCTGCCTGCAAGTTCTTGAGAGGTGGCTCCGAGTTGAAAGGATGCATACCAGTGTTGCGCAACATGTCCGGATGGCGCTTAACCCACTTGTCCGGGGTGTTGGCATCCCGTGCATCGACTTCAGTAGCATCCTGACGACCGGGCATTTCCAAGCTAGTGTCCCAAAGAGCTGTGGACAGCGCTATCCGGCCATCCTGGATCTTGCCGTCCCTTGTCGCCTCCATTGGTCAGTGAGAAGCTAAGCTAAGGCAGCTAAGAGTCTTTGAGCCAAAGGCGAGGGCTGTAGGGTTTCGGCTCACACACTCGCACCCGGCAGGCATGGCTTCACGGCGTCCGAGCTTGCAGGGCTTGGAACTTTCGGACTTGGACAAGCTCTGGCAATCTAGGCGAGGCTGTTCCAAGATTTGCAGAGTCTCAGGGTTTTCGGGTAAGGGGTTGAGCTTGAGCCTACTACGGCTTCACGTCTGCTCGGGTTGTTTCTGTAGCTATGCTTTACGAGGCTTCAAGTAAACAGCTCTGGGAAGTCCCAGTTCCAAGACCCAACTCCGGCCTCGTCCATCTGAGTCCTCAGATGCTCCAGCTGGCGCTGAAGAAGCTGCCTGTTTGCTCAGCATTTGTTGAGCAGCTTGTTAGGATACGGTACCTACCGCCCGTAAAGGCATAATACGGGTACTATTCTTGCTATTATTACTCTGACTACTGCTGTTACTATCATTACTATTATTACTACTTCTGTGACTATTGTCACTACAATGACTATGGTTACTACACTACTGAGACCGAGCCGCTAGCGCAGGGGTGGGGGGGTTAGTCCTTCGAGAGTAGGGAACCCCCCTCCTCCTACTACTACCACTACTGCTACTACTACTCACTACCACGACTTAGTACTATGTCGACGGCATAGGTGGAACCGAAAGATCTCGAAGCCCGCACCTCTCTTGATCGGCGCCTTCCCGCTCCTGCGGCTCTCAGGTGGAGCTGCAAAGTACTCGCAGCCCATAAAAAAAGGGCCTTAATCTTTAGAATAGGGCTTCGGGTGTATATCATGCTACAAATGTAAAAACGAGCCCCCACGAGAGTATTGGTAATCATTAGGCGCCTAGAGTAGCTTCAGCTGAATGGTTCAGTAGGCATACGAGTTGTAGTAGCAGCAGCAGTAGAAAAAACAGTTGCAGAAGTCGTGGCATTAACAATAATGATACTGGTAACATTCCAATAACAATAAGATCTTCAACCTAGTAGTAAGCGAAACAGGAACCTTTGGCTCCATACACGTGCCAGTCAAGGCCCAGTGCGAGCATTTCTGCTTCACTGGTGCACACGGGGCTCGAAATCCATGAGGTTGCCAAGTCCAGCATCGTTGCATTGCACTTCTAGCTGCAGGGCGGGGTTCAAGATTTGCACAGCTACAGACATGCGTTGCAAGAACTGTATTCTTGGCTGACTACTAAGGCGATGGTAAGAGGGGCGAGTCCAAGAACACTCAAACTCCCCGCGAGCAACCCCTCGCTCGGATTCAAAAGCAGGGGCCCTGACGTCGCTCAAGCGCTTGTGATGTTCGTCCGCTTGCATGGCTGCGCCTCGGATTGGAGAAGGGCTTGGTCGGGCTCGAGATCCGAGATCAGAGTGTTCGCCAAGCAGGAAACTGACGCCGGGGCTTTCACGAGAACAGCTGTGCACGAGCAGCAGGAATTATGCCAGTTCTTCAGGCACCGGGAAACACGTGGAAGCAGACACTAAAGCAACTCGAGACAGTAGCTACTTTGAACAATGACCACCTCGGACTGGAGAAGCAATAGCCGCGTTCAATAGCCTCATAGCACTGGCAGCAGCAATAGCAAAGAGAACAGGAACAGCAGTACGTGTATAAAAGCAGACACCATTGAGTAGCAGTGGTCGGGAAAAAGATGCAAAATGCCTCTTCAAGGTGCTTGCCCCCGCAGCAAGCATGGTATTTTATGAACGATATCTGAGACAATCCCGATAAAGCACCCCCCCCCCTATTTTCCAGAAAGGGAAGCTGTGGGGGCCCAGTTTTTCCGACACAGTGGAGTTGAAGGATTTCTTGGCCCGAAATCTCAACAGAAATCAGCCCATGGATGTGGTCCAGGTAGGTTTAGTTTGGGGATGTTTGGGGTAGTTCTAGAGTAACCTGGAGCCACGAAGTGCCCATTCGGTCAGACACTTGCAAATCTTGTGCCAGGCTGCGTCGGTCTCGCTCCTCGATCTCGGTCCGCTGCTGGGACAGGGCGGCCTGAGGACAAGGCTGCGCTGGACGTGACGATTCGCTTCTCGAGACGAACACTGGGCGAATGAATTCTGCAGACAACGCGTACGCTCATGGTATCCCATCTGTCAACCGGGTTTACCAGACCTGACCAACCTTCAAAGTGTGTGAGTTTCTTCTCCAGGCTTCGGGACTTTTCGTTTCGGGACCCCTCTAGTCCAACCTTATGCCCATGTGGGGGCGAGTTCTGCCGGCCTTCGCATCCGAGATGTCGGCTTGCAGGGTTTGTCGCTCCTGCTCGAAGTCTGCCACCAAGCGATCGAGCTCGCCCTGCTTGGCCGCGAGCCTTTTCTCTGCATCCGCCCTGAGGTCCACGATGGTGGTGGAGATGTGCTCGTCCCTTTCTTGCAGCTTCTGCAGCATCTCCCGCCGGAGGCTTTCAACGTCGCTATTCAGCTGCTCCCGTGCCTGGACGACACCTGCATGGTCGGTCTGCAGTTGCTTGTGCTCCGCTTGCAAGGAGTCGTGGCCTTGTTGTAGCTCTGTATGCTGCTGCCGCAAGCTGCCGTGTTCCTGCTGCAGCTGCATCAGCTGTCCCTCGTAGGCCTCGAAGTCCGCGCGACTGCGCTCCAGCTTCCGCTCCAGGTCAACTTGCTGATCCCGGGCAGTCTGGACTGTTCTCTCCAAAGCCGCATCCCGAGCCTGGAGATTGCTGCTGGCCTCCTGCTGCATTTGCTCGTGCTGTGCCTCCAGCTGGGAGTACTTCACGGACAGATCCTTCTGCTGCTGCAACAGCTTACCCTCGCTCTCGCGCAGCTTCTCTTGCTCCGTCTGAAGCTCATCCGTCCTCCTGGCCATCTCGGCTCTGATGGCCTCCACCTCCTGCTGGTGCTGCTGCCCAAGCCCCGTCACAGCTCTCGCGTGCTCCTCATGAAGCTGCACCAATGCGGTGCTATGCTCCTCCTGCAGCCGCTTCGCCGCCTGCACAAAGTCTGTCATTAGCAAGATTCAGGCGCTCGGTTGGCGGCTTTTGGCACGCAGGCTCTCCAGCTCTTTGCAGACACTGGACTTCTGATAGTTGAACAGATGCAGAAGCTCTTCTTCGAGGACTCCGTCCCAAACTGCGAAGCCGAATTCCCCACGACCGCCAAGCCTGCAATTACGCACCCACCTATCCGAGACGCAAACTTCGGCCTCCTCGGAAGCTCCAAGGTCCTTGCAATTCAGGGAGGGCTCAAAGACATCCATGCCTACTGTGAACTTATTAGGAAGACACTGTCAAGCTTCACCGAGCAGCTACGACATATGACGAGTGCGAAGATGCTTTCGTCCGAGAGTTGTTTGGGATTCTAAATGGATGCCTTCGGGGAGCTCGGCGACTGCGTGGACGTCGGTTTGCTGGGTGGTGAAGTCTTCTTTGTTGGGGGGGAAGGGGGTTCCAAGCTCTTCCAAGCCTTTTCCGTGGCATCTTCGGGTAAGTTGGGAACTCAGATACAAGAGCCAACCAGAAGAACGCCAAATAAAGCTCTACTAACATTAGACCCACCGAGGGAGAGAACCTATCAGGCCATGCCACTGCTTTCGTTCCGCGGAGTTCATTGCGATGGCCTCAGCCAAGGATGCGGCAGGATGGCACGGGGGACGAAGGTGTGGAGAGGATGCTGGGGAGCACGAGCTCAGTGTGGGATTCACAATATAAGACATTCATCGGAGGTGTTGGGCCTCCGTCTCAGCTGTAGTCACTGTAATCTTGCTGCATGAACGGAAGCAAGCGCACTTCCCGACCCTTGGAACGTATGGACACGCCAGGGTGAAACCCTCATCCTTCCATTTCTACAAGAACTAAGAAAGCCTGAACAAAGCCCGGCTGCCTTCCAGCTGCGCCTTGTCAAAATCAACATGCCATGGTTTGCTCGAATGGGCGGCGCTTGTTCTAGGCAGCCGCATAGACGGTTCAACAGAAAGCACAATTGCATGTTCTGCCGGCCTTCGCATCCGAGATGTCGGCTTGCAGGGTTTGTCGCTCCTGCTCGAAGTCTGCCACCAAGCGATCGAGCTCGCCCTGCTTGGCCGCGAGCCTTTTGTCTGCATCCGCCCTGAGGTCCATGATGGTGGTGGAGATGTGCTCGTCCCTTTCTTGCAGCTTCTGCAGCATCTCCCGCCGGAGGCTTTCAACGTCGCTATTCAGCTGCTCCCGTGCCTGGACGACACCTGCATGGTCGGTCTGCAGTTGCTTGTGCTCCGCTTGCAAGGAGTCGTGGCCTTGTTGTAGTTCTGTATGCTGCTGCCGCAAGCTGCCGTGTTCCTGCTGCAGCTGCATCAGCTGTCCCTCGTAGGCCTCGAAGTCCGCGCGACTGCGCTCCAGCTTCCGCTCAAGCTCAACTTGCTGATCCCGGGCAGTCTGGACTGTTCTCTCCAAAGCCGCATCCCGAGCCTGGAGATTGCTGCTGGCCTCCTGCTGCATTTGCTCGTGCTGTGCCTCCAGCTGGGAGTACTTCACGGACAGATCCTTCTGCTGCTGCAACAGCTTACCCTCGCTCTCGCGCAGCTTCTCTTGCTCCGTCTGAAGCTCATCCGTCCTCCTGGCCATCTCGGCTCTGATGGCCTCCACCTCCTGCTGGTGCTGCTGCCCAAGCCCCGTCACAGCTCTCGCGTGCTCCTCCTGCAGACGTTTTGTTGCCTGTCCAAGGACGGTTTATACCAGGATGCGCAACGTGACTGTTGGCTAACTTTGCCTGGGCAATTGCAAGCTGCCTGCAATCAGCATACTGGTGGCCCTGATCTCTCATCAAGCGAAAGCCCCCCCTGGTTTGTCAACATCAGCAGTTTTTGGATTCCATCAGGTCAGGCGAGCTCCAAGATCCTAGGAAGCTACTGTGTGCGCACCTCGCCTCACACACCCGCCTAGCCCTATTAACCAACAGATGCCAGGAGCCGCACAGCGGAATGCCTGCTCCATGTCCATCTTCATTTTCTCAAAGGTCGCACTTAGTTGTTGCTTCTCCTGCAAGAGGACCTCATGGTCCTGCAGGACAGCAGCTGTTCAAGGCAGTCTCACAAGAGGCATTGTGCTCTGTAGCATCTGCTGCTCTCCAATCTGTTGGTCTTGAAAGCAGCTACTGCTTGGCAACAGCTCAAGACCAATATGACCAGAAGAGTGCACCAATGCACTCCATCCCCTCGACTCCCGCTCACAGCCGACACGGTCCGCCAGGAGCTGCTGGATCTGGCTCTTGGAGCTTTCGGCCTGGTCTGCAAGCAGTTTCAACGGCTGGGACTGAAGGGCTTGAAATTGGTTTCCCGCATACTGACCCTTCTAATAGCCATATGGCACCCCTTATAGCAGCCCACATAGTAACCCGGATGGGTTTAGGCCAGTCAGACCCAGGAGAACTTCCGGAGATCTACCCTGCGGCTGCCTAAGAAACGGACGCAGGTTCTACAGTTTTCAGTGTGACGACAGATGAACACTTTGGACAGACTGTCTGCTGATCTTTGCGCCTCCTTCTTCGCGTCCTCCCTCTCTCGCTCCAGGACAGAGGTCACGCCTTGGGCTGAAGTCTTGACAACCCACACCCGGTCGTCATAAACCAACCCACTCATCCAATACCAAACCCACTCACACATCCTGGTCCCGAACCTCGTGACAGCATGCAGAGCAGCCGGCACGATTTGATGGAGAAAGCTCCTGACATGAGGCCCGAATACCTTGAGCCGACGTTATCCCAGCCCAACTGGGCTCGTGCCTGCGACTTGCCGCCAAGTCACTCTCGTAGGCCTCCTCCATCTCCTCGCGCGAAACGTTCAAGCAGAGCCCTTCTGACTTCTGATTCCTCTAAAGATAGGCATTGGCATCTGGTGGAGGACGCATCCCAGAACCTTCCTCGTAGTAGTGATTAGTAGTGGCATGACCATCCGAGCTCAGCTTTCGTTTCTGTAGCAATAACTCAATAACAGCCTCAGTAAGTTTTGGGAAAAGGACCAGGACAGGGGAGGGGCGGAGCAAGAGTCAGTTCCCTCTCACTGTCCAATTCCGTGCTGGAAGCACCGGCAACAACAAGAGCCGAGCTGGATCAATCACTGGCAGGGCAAAAAACGAACTAAGAGTCATAGGCAGAGGCAATCTTGAAACCCGTAGCCAATGCTCAGCTTCAGCGCAACTCAGGTTCAAAACTCTGGCGCACCCATTGGGCTTTCAAAGTGGGCACAGACCTCTTCAAGCCTAAGCCCTACGCAGCTCCCTCCATTTCGCGCTCGGAAGGTCCGAGAACCTGGTAAAACTCACGAAGACTTAGCAGGTCGACTGAGCAGGGCTCTCCTGTCGCTGTAGCTGCGCCTCATCACGCAAGGAGCTGGCATGCTCCGTAAGCTCCTCTGCAGCCACTTCAATCGGTGCTTGTCGTGTTGCATTTAAAAGCCATAACAAAGCGACACGGGAAGTACACGCCTCGAACGCATGGAACACTGCGTGGGCTCACGTTCAGGAGATGACGATTCATCACCATGGTTACCACTAGACTCCTAGTCAACTGAGGCATCATGTGTTCAATCCACACCACCGCCACTCTGTGTTGCTGCTTCTGCTTCTTCTTCTTCTTCTCACCTGCCTGCTCCTGCGCCACCACTATCACGGCCCACAGTGGCATGTTTAAAGTAAATAATTAGGTCCCTAAACTAAACTCGAACCTGAACCGTAAACCCAAAAAGCCTCCGGAGTCGACAGACCTGCCTCGATGTCTGACGTCAGCTGGCTGCGCTCCGTAGTGAGAGCTTCACACTGACGAAGAAGAGACGCGTACCTGCTTGCACTTTCTTGTCTTGCAAGGCATGGCGCAGGCACATCATGAGATAAGCAGCTTTAGATGCTTGCTCTGAGTACATGGGTTTTACAAGTGATTGCTTGTCTGAGGTCTGCTGCACGGAGTTTGTGGTTCTCGTTCCAGGTGTATGGTTGCATAAACTTGTTGTAGGTTTTGCTGCATGGGTTGTATGAGGTTCATACCGGGCGCTCGATGTCGTTGCGAAAAGCTTGTTCAAGGTTTGGTGCTGAGCATATACAATCTCTTTACAGTTGTTCCGAGATGCTACCTGCTGCACTAGTTGCCGCTTCCTACTGGATGCCCGGGAGAGGGTTTCAGGGTCTGCGTGTGACAGTGTGGACAAAGCCGCCTGTTGTTATTGGCGAGTTTGCCACCACTTGTGGTCTTGTGAGTTGTGGAGCTTCCGCATGACTTCAGGATTTCAGGGTTGAGGATGCTCAAACTAATAGATGATGTCAACACTTATGGTGTCGCTGGCGTGAGGTTGCGGAGGCTCGTAACTAGCTGAAAGCAGTGCACCAACTGCCACTCCTCGCGATTAGGACAATGCGTGACGGCGGTTAAGGGAAATCCGATCAAGGGTTAGGACAAATCCGATGCAATGGTTAGGACAGAAATGTTGGCATGGTTAGGGGAGAACATGTTTGCGGTTGGGACAAAACGCCTTCATGGTTAGGGATGTCTCTCCGTAACTAGCGGAGTAAGTCTCCATCTTTTCGGGATTGTCAGGTACACAGTTTTCGCGCTCCAGCTCATGCAGCCTTCCTAAACGGGATCTTTTGCCAGAGTTTGGCCGCCAACTTCACTCTCTAGGAAGCCCCCAAGTGAGTTCCCATGAGAACCAAAGTAGAGCTAGGGCTAGGTCTTACCGAAACCAGCAAAAAAAAAAAACAAATATACACACGGCCACACCAACCCAAGAACGACCAGGGTCACCTACGGAAACACAAGGGCAATGAAGTAGTCACCATGCGCTTGAAAAAGACGATTTCGTATATGAGCAAGAAGCCAGTTGAAAGTCACGTGCATAGGCATTAACTTAAGTAATCGGCGTTGAAAGAACGATACACAGGCAGACAGACACACAGATAAAAAGACAGGCAGTTAGATAGACGGGCAGACCAGGATTGCCCTGTCTGGGAATCCACAGGAACAGCCAAAAGCAGAAACACGGCACAAACAAAGAAATCAATAAAGCGATCCGGGTGCCCCTGTCGCCTGGCCTCTTGAAAAGAAAAGCAAACCAACACACAAACGTAAAGCGACAAACAAGCGAACAAAAACAACCAACAAGCAACCAAAGAGAATCGTTGTTTGCATTGATCCACATTCAATACACAAGCACGAAAACCAATCACATGGCCACACATGCGCTTCCTATTTACATTACTTCCCATTCTATTCTTGTTTGATTCCTTTGTGATTTGTATTTATTTTGCATTTTACAATATGTCCGGGTGATTATCCGCTTGGATTGGATTTTTGTCGTATTTTCTTTGCGTTGTTGTTGCTTCCTTCTTGCTGGGTTGTTTACATTGCTTTTTGCATTCTTCTATGACCCTTGGGGACCGCTTTTTGTTGCATGTGTGCTGGTTTTATTTCTGGAACCGTACGTATTCCAGGACCCGCGATCACTCTTACACACACACACACACATCAAACACTCACATGCGGAAAATATCTAAGTTCGAGCATATAGGCATGCCCACATATCGGAATATTACGCAATGCCAACCAAATCGGGCCTGCTCTCCCAACCCACTTTCTCCTCAGCGAAGCTCTGCCGCTCCGACTCAAAGTCCGAAGCTCGACCTCAAGAGCAGCGCGACTGCGCAATCGGGAGTGTGGCTGTCCGGGCATGCATCGGCAACGAGGTATACGCTGGACATGCCTGCGTGCCGCAATGGGACATTTCGGGTTTCAGATCACGTAGGGATACTTCGGGTTTGGGCTTTGCATGTACTCTAAAGTGATTGGCCAACTTTCCGTCCAATTTAATGGAGGGTTGAGGATTTAAGGATGAGCAACTCTCGAGCTTTCCTTCAAGTTCGCAGGGGTGTGGGGTCCAGCACGCTTGGCCTGTGATTGGAACTCCAAACCCTATATTTGAGCCCGTACTACGCTGAAACCCTGAACTTGCCCTCAACCCTTCACGGACGTTCACGGAGACAAGGCATCAAGACTTCAGATTTGTGGGTTTCAGTTGTAAGCCGCTTGGCTCAACGAGTAAGGATTTGAGCAAAGCTTCTGGATCAATGGTATAGGGCATGCACAATGAGACGGAACCCAAACATCCCAAGCCTATCTCAGCAAATTCATGCATCATCTGCTTTCTGATGTCTACAGCTCACTTCAGCGCCATCAGGATCGGCAAATCCCAGCCAGTATTTATCCCACGGGAGCTGAACTCTCTCCCTATCACAATCTCTCTCCGTCAAGCTCCCAGCAACCGACAACCTTTCCGACCCTGACCTGTGAACTTTAAAAGCCCTGAATCCCAAAGCCGTAAATCTCTCTAAGCCTTCATTATAAATTAAAACACTGAAAACCTTCAACCCCAAAAGCCATCAACACCGCAACGCCTAAAACCCCACGACGAGTGACGTTTGAGATCAGCTTCGGAAGAGCTGAGCTTTTGTGTCACCCTCTGCAGCTCACCCGACCTTCGGTTCCCAAGATTTCCGGAACAGGGTTTATGCCAGTTTATGCTCTCACAACTCGGACAACCCAGGCGAGTTCCACAGGCGCGGCTCGGCGCGGAACAGGGTGTAGGGTTCCAAACAAACGGGTTTGGCGTTTAGGATTTGGCCCAGCGCTTTGACTCGCACACTCGCGCAAAGGCAGGCACGGATTCATGAGTCTGGCATTTTTGGTTAAAGGGGTCTAGTGTAGTAAGCCGACGTTTTACTCCCCGGAACCGTCTCAGGGCCTTGAGAGCGGCAAGCTTCACTTTCTTTAGGCCCTTTAGGCTCTGCTTGCATAGCGTACCCGTCGCAAGGATTTCAAGAACTTATGATCAGCTGAAGTTCGGTTGTCCACACACTGAATGGCAGATTCAGCCTTCAGGGCCTTTCGGGGCGAACCTGCTCCCTGTGTTATTCAGAAAGCAATGCTTTGCGTCTAGGTGAATGTGTCAGCGGTAAGGACTAAGACTTCCAGGACATGGATTCTGACAATCTCACGATGAGGCTCTACCTACCAGGTGCTCCCTGGGTTTGGGGCCTTGTTTCGGCTTCGGGCGGGGTGGATGTGGGCACAGGAACGTCCCGGTCCAGGTTGATGATATGGTATACTGTCGCTCATGGTGTGGGGTTCTATGCGTCTGGGATTTCAGGAAATAGGACGACTCCCACCGCCCTACAATTGCCCTAAGGTCGGCAACAAACCCACAGAAGCCTATGACATCTAAGCCACAAAGCCCCAGGACCCTAAGCCTCAACACTGAACACATCACTGAACGCAAAACAGTTCTTTCTCAAGGCCACGACAGGTCTCGCACTTGGCCCTGCAACTCGTCACACCTAAACAGTGGCTGAAGAGGTCGAGTGCTGAATGTTGGTTCTTAGAGAATCCTTCGCTCGAAACCCCAAACCCCTGGTGCAGTTCTCGTTTAGGCTCGCGGCCCTTAAAGGAGGTTTGGGACATGATGCTTGTTGCGGCGGCCAATACTGTCACTCCGAAGGACAAGCAGGCGGAGGAGTAGAAGTTGCAGCTTGGAGAGGACGATGCGAGAAGCAAATGGCACAACAGGCATGGGTCCTGCTGGTAGCAGAACTTGCTGACATCATCGTGGTAGCAATATGAGCGATGACCGTAAGAGTGCCTGGCAGCAGCAGTGAAACCACCCACAAACAGTACTGGGACCAGTGCTATGTAATGCCACCACCATCTTTGCCAACGTGGCAAAACGAAACAACTCAGATGTCTCCTCATGGCGATAACCAACCGTCGTCCGTACCCTTAGCCGGTTCAACGACGGCATTCAAGTCGCCGCCAGCAAGACTGCCACTGTGGTCACCGTCAGCGCCACTGCAGCAACACCATCATATCCACGATAAACGTCATCCCCTGCACCCTCACAGGCATCGGTATCATCAGCATCATCAACCTCATCACGACCATCATCATCATCATCATCATGGTGAGCTTCATGCTCGCTCCTGCGCTTCGCCATTCCCACCAACATCATAAGCATTAGGGTGATCATGGTAAAACGCTCTCTCGTCACCCAGCAGCAACACTATCACCATCCTGATCCGCAGCACCTGCATCGGCCTTTGGTTATTGGGTCGCTCATCGGTATCATCGCGCAACCATCCACATCAACGACATCATCTTCACACTGGCCATCGCAACTACATCGCACAACCTGTACCATCAGTACCGCCTTGCCAGACTCATTATCTCCGTCATCATGACAATCGCCATCGCCACTGCATCATCGTTTCCATAACCAGCATCACTACTGCCATCACCAACATCGCTGCCTATGTCACCACTACCACCAGCATCGTCATCTCGGTCCTCATCTTCAGCATATTCAGCACCGTCGGCATCATCATCGTCATCATCATCATCACCCTCATTACGATTATCCTCCTCTTGGTGTTCGTCATCCTCCTTTCCCCCTCCACATCAGCAGGAAACCTCTTAGTCTTGGTAATCCTCGTCGTCATTGTCACAGTCATGAACAGCAGACATCAGGAGTTGAAATCAGTACAGCAAACCTTGCACTCCCTCTGAGCGTCTCCACTGGCCCTGTAGCTTCTGCTCTGCACTCGCGGCAGAAAGCCTCAATGCGCAGAAACTTGCGGTGGTTGGCTCATGCTTGCGAAGATCCTGACGGGTTGGGGCATTGCATGAAGGATGTCGAACCTCAGGGACCAGCGAATGTGCCGAGCTTGGAGTACAGGCAGTAAAGACAGTAAAGGGTACAATGTCATCACAATTAGAGGGTTGCGTTTGCTTCCTCGAGGGCGCGTCGTAGGTTTGCAAGCCCGTGGCCCAACTGCAGCCATGCTGACAGCTACAGGCCACTCTTTTATTCGCCAGAATGTCCCTTACCATCCACCTCTTCGGCCGCGACAGCCCACGAACTTTCGCCGTCTGTGCCGGGCCGTGAAAAGGAGCAAGTACGAGCTTCAAATCTTGCGGCTTTTTCCCTGGCTGCACTCAGCAGGCGTGCTGCTTGTGCACGCAGGGGAGGAGCGGTGATCTTGCCTTTCGTCCAGCTTGCCAGACGTGAGTCCCGAAGGAGAAGGCCTCACCGTCCAGACTTCTCATCCAAGGCGTACAAAACTAATCTACGAGAAGCCAACAAACCATACATGAAAGCTCCTATACAAAGCTAAGCCCAAGAGGCGGCAGTCAGACCGAAGATCACGAAAAAGACATTGCGAAGCAGCCCTCCCCAGGTGCCTGAGGATCCTTTCGGCTTCGTCCTTAGAGTCGCATACTCTAAACCAAGTTCACAGGTCCTGATAAGGCATGTGCAAGCTCACGGCTCCAACTTCTGCATGAAAATGTGGCATCGGATATGTCTATCATCATCACGGCAGTCTGAACACTCACTGTTCCAGTGTCATGAAGAGCAGCCTCTCCGAAATGATGACAACAACCACTAACCTGTGCTCAGACATGAACAGAACCCTAAACCCTGCATAGTCCTGCATTCTGCATCAGCACTCCTCATCATCAACCACAGCATCTTCATCATGAGTATCATCTAAAGCCCTTGCAACTTTTGGTTTTGACGTTTTACTGCATCTGTATGTGTACACATACACACACACACACACATATATATATATATATACCCACACCCTAACTTACCTTTTTTGAGAAACCCCCAATTCCATAAACACCAAACCCCAAACCCTGAGCCGCTTGACCCCAAGATGAAGCGTGGCGTCGATGTCACGAGCTGCTCCTCGCCGGACCAGGGGAGCGCCACCGGTGCGGGCGCAGAGGGCACTGCATCCACGTAGCGTTTCATGTCCTCCGTCCTGACGGCTTTTGAGGGTCGCGGGGGGGGGGGGGGCNNGGGGGGGGGGGGGGGGGGGCTATTTCTTTCCCACCCGCTTCGCTGACCTCCAGCCTCAGTTGAGAAGTTTCCCTGCAGTGCAACCTGGTTTGGGGATTTTTGTTTGCCTCCCGGCTCTGGTTTCGGGAATTGAAACATTGAAACCTAGAACTTTTCGATCGGAGTTTAGGAAGTTGGACTGATGACGATAAGTTGTGAAGCTCAGATGTTCGGACCTTCTGCCGGCTCGGAGATCCCAGGCGAGGCTTTCTGGAACCAGACCGGAGAGGCTTGCGTTTGAAATGCTGGGCTGCAACATGTCTGTGCTGGTGTAAACTTCGTTGTGCGAGGAGTACATGACGTGATGTTGGAGCTGCATGGCTGTAACAGTACACAACACGCACCTTTGATGTCCGAGACTTTTCTACGTCTACACATGTGCCAACGGCACGTGCGAACACAACTCATACCTTGGTTGGGGGGCGAGGTTTTACTTCCGATGGTACACGAAGCCATACCACAAGTTGTAGAAACAAGGAACACAGCAAACTGCGAAAGTAAATCAAAAGCCCTGAGCCCCGGGCTTGAATTCTGAACTGCCATTTGCACTTGTCTCGGCCGAGTTTCGTCGCAGATACGGGCTGGCCCCTTGCCTGCATCCACTCGTCGGCCGTCATGGGACTCGTCTTACCTTGGGTCTCGAGCTGTTGTCCACTACTCCCCTAATGTTTGTCTAGGCTCCCGCATCGCAAGCAGGGAGCTGCGAAGCATGAACACTCCACGAACGGCTTCGAGATCTTAAACCTAGAACTAGAACAGCCTGCGAGCAGCTTCGCGAGGCAGTCAAGACATGTAAGTGAATCTAAGTTGCAATCACGCTTTGCGAGACTCGGAACGTGCACGGTAAGAAACAGAGGCTTCCAGAGCAGATGCCTTTATCAAGATCTCAGACCTGTCGCGTCGACAGGTCTTGCGTTCCCGGACACATCGAAAACCCAAAAAACATATCCGTTTAGATCCCCCAATACTCTCCCAACACTCCAATCAGATGCAGACCCAGCTGCCCGCCGCGTGAGGATACGGACACTCACGCGGGTAGGCATGGTGCAGCCATTGTGCAAAGAGGCGCCCATGAAGTGGCACCTCAAACGGTTGTCCATATGCTCGTCAGCATTCATTGTCAACAACTGACCGGATCCGCTGCCAGCTCGAAATCCGGCTATTGGTTATTCTCGGAAGATTCAGTCTTTTGATCTTTTTCGGATCCGGCACTTTGATTCCAAGCGAACTGCGGAGGTGGCTCGACAGAAGCGGGTTCATGATTTGGGAGTTTTCGCCATACAACAACAAAGAAGAGCCCCAGAATGGCAGCATCCTGGGATCACGCCAACACAAGGGAAGCCTTTTTGTAAAAGCCTCGCAACTTCCAAGTGTCTTCTTGCTTCCGAGGGTTGCAGATCCCCTACACCCTAGCGGACGCCACAAAAACCCTACCATAAACCCTAAAAACCTTTATCCAGCATCGTAAGCCCTACGCTCAAAACACCATGCAGACTGAGTTTCCCAAAGGTCCAAGGCACCGAGCCCCCGTGCTGCGCGGCCACCTCATGCAGGCGCGCTGTCAGCGTCTCCGGCAGCTCCCCTGAGGCTGTCGGAATGTTCAGGAGGCTGGGAGGCTTGAGGGCTTTACGCTCTCGCAACTGGAACTCCGCCAGACGAGGTCCCTTGGTAGGGTTTAGGACTTGGGTTTCGACTCGAAAGACCCACCACGGTCTCAGTGGAGACTCAAAGGTTGTATCGAGAGCCACATTAGCTACAGCTGCCGGCCTCAGAAAACACAACAGGTCAAGGAATAGTTCTTCGGCTCTCGCAGCTCGCACAACCCGGGCGAGTTGTCTGAGCTCGAACGGAAAGAACTCCAATGGTCCAACACACCACTTCCAGTTCACTGAAAGCCGTAACTTGAACTCAAACCCTGAAGACTCTGGTAAGCCAGACAAGGTGCGAGGCGTCCGCACAGTGGCGGAGGGCAGCGAGGCAACAATCTCAAGGATTTCTTTGGGCTCCGCTTGAGGAGCAGCCACCTGCTAGTCCACGCGAGTTTTGAGGGTTTTGCGTTGAGGCTTGGGCTTAAGCTCCAGGAGCTTCGACAACAAGCAGAGCACGGAACTTATCCAGGTACTTCGTCTTCGGGGACCGCAAGCAAGCCCAAAGCTTCCCGGATCAGAATTTGAAGTCATAAACAAGCCCTTGACTATAGCCCGTTAACCTGGATAGCAGTCAGTTGAACCTACCAAGTCAGGCGATAGTAGTAACAACCATGTACATACTCTTTTCGTTCGTCTCTGCAACTGACACGTGATGTTTGAAGAGAGAGAGAGAGAGAGAGAGAGAGAGAGAACGGAGAGAGCCCCATCTCCGACCCCCGGAGCTGCAACCACGGGGGGTGCCGTGGCTCAACACACGAGACTACGAAAAAAAGAAGCACCTCCAATGGCAGCTTAATGTGCTGGCAGAGAAGCTCGAAGAGAGCAGAAGCAAGTCCGAAAAGGAGGAGCTGTGGAACGAAATTCTGCAAAAAAAGCAGGACATCCCTCAGGCATCCATTTATACTTATATACAATTCTTCTTTTCTCCCAGTCTTGCCTTGGCCTCAAGGTGTCCCATCAGGGCCTCGCACTCGTTGATGCAACAGACCTTAGCACATTTAGGATCGAGCGGTGGGCATGTTAGAGCTTGCGAGGCGGGATCTCAGATTTCGCAGCTTCGGTGTTCGGGCGGTGAAGGCTTTTCACATTTAGACTCAAACGTTTGAAGTCTCGTAAGCGCCCAAGCGTGAGGTCAACCTGTATATTGAGAGGCAGTTCATTGGGGGGCGACTGTCTGAGCCAGCGACTGCATGCAGCCCTCTCGGTGAGGATAAGCTCCAAAGCTTCAACCCTACAACTCGAGCCTTAACCGTTCACCCTCAATGAGGCTGCAGCTTAGAAGCAGAATAGATACTGGATGACGCCACGCAGTTCGACTGTGAGTTGACGTAGTTCGGGATGAAGACGGCGAGGTGCGAACGGTCCGACTCGTCCAGCGCACCGAGCTCTCGCAAGTATTCGATGCTCTCAGAGAACCTTGCTTTCGGGTTTCGGCGTCTTGATTCTTGATTGGTGGAGCACGAAAAAACTGAAAGACTAACTTGGCGAACCAATGGCATGGAACCAACATACAAATTCAAAAGCACCCAGGAACTGCCACTGGCCCGCCAAAGCCGCGGAATAGAAGTCCTTCAGCAGGACGCGCCCGGTTCCCGCATGCTCGGACTTGAGAAGCGAAGTCTTCAAGTCACGGCACTCCGAATCCTGCCAGCGACCGTAGCGTTCACCAATCTCCTCGACAATCTCCGTCGCCGCACGAAAGGAGAAGTTCTCGAGTGCAAAGTTGGGATCGGAGCTGGAACCCTTGTCGGCAACCATGCTTGAGCGCACCTGCATCGTGAACTTGCGCGTCTCCTGCCAACCCGGGTAGCTCTCCACAATCAGGTCGCGCTCTTTCGAGACGCTGCTTGCTGAGAAGTTCTGGGAGCCCACAAGGAAGAGGGTCATGTAGGTATCGATGAGGTCTTGGAGCGCGACCTCCTTCACCCGAGCATCCTGGGAGAGGCCATGGGCTTCGTAGACAACCTCGAGTCGGTGCACTGCCTCGTCGTGAATCCTTGGCTGACCATCTTCGACCCAGCTTTAAGCCCTCGAACATGAACCTGCAGGGCTCATAGTTCGGAACACGGTACATCGGTCTCTCAGCTTCGTGGCTTACATGACCATTTTAAAACCGTCCGGGGCTCAAATGCTCCAACGTTGCTGCCAGCACCGTGAGCTCGTGTAGTCCGAGCCCCTGGTCCTTCTCGACTTCAACTTAAGGTGACTGTATACGCTAGGGTGCGAAATGATGCATTTCTTGTCATAGCTTCGTCTGTTTTCGATGAGATCAATATCAGGGATGGTTTGGAGCTGAGTATCTGCGGTAGATTCATGGTCGACCGTTTAGGATCACATGTTCATCTTCGTGGTCCTTCAAGCGCTCTTCGAAGAGCGACAAGACAAAGGACGGCACATGCTCCTGAATTCAGAACTTATGTCTTGCAGGGCAGGGGGTGGAAGCAGAAAGACCGTAGTACCATTGCAGCACGAGGTTGGTTGTATGTGTTGCGGAGCTGCAGGTGGCAGGCTTGTTGCATTGCTGCAGCACAGTATTACCTGAATATTTTCCAGGCATTACTCTCGGTATCAAGCTACAGATAGCACCCTCATACCGCTCGCTATGCTTGCATGGTCCTGCTGCTGCTTTGCTACACTGTTTGTTCGATCGATTGCTGTTCAGCTGTTTAATCAGTGCTGCACTGACGCAGCTCACAAACCATCGCAGTACATAGATCAGATCAGAGACTTGAGACAGTCTGTCGTTCAGAAACTAAGCGCATGGGGTGTCTCAAGTGCCTTTTTAAAGCTGACAGCTTCTGCTGCCGAAAACCGAAATGACCAAAGCATCTTGTACCTAGGTCGCACTTGCTGGCTCAAAACCCGAGCTCCTCCAGCACCTGTGAGGTGGTCGCGTTCTTCCAGTCCATGCCATCGGCTTGCAAGCCCTTGATTTGCATGGCGTGGCGCTGAACAAAGAGCCGATGCAGCACATACCTGTCTCAGGAACAAGGGACTAGAGCACTTAATGCTCGATAAATGATGACGCTAGACACACTGTTGAAGACGTCTCTATGTACTATTCTGCCATAATCTGCTGGGACCGAGACGGGGAAAACTCCAACTAACCGGGCTCAGAGGATCTCGGAGCTAAGGCCAAGCGAAGGGATCTAGGGTTCAAGGTTTAGGATCTGATCTGGGGTCATGCTAAGCACCGAAAGTGCTTCAGAATGCCTGCTTTGTTTCGGACTGGCAGGCTTAGACGACCGGTCCCATGGAACAATATACCACGTGTATATTTGTATGTGTATATATACTCACCTGTCTCTCTCTATATATATATACACACATACATATACACGCGCGCTATAGCTCTATGTGTGTATATTTATATACAGATATATGGCTGTGTATATATATATATATGTATATACTTATTTATGCATTCATTCTATTTAAGCATTTATTTGTATATCATTACACACATTAATATATATATATATATTGCAAACACACACCAATTGCTTAACATGTAAGTATTTTCCGTTCATGTAGACCTCATAGATATCTATCTAAATAATATATGCAGGGGTGCATTTACCACGACGCAATTGACTAGACAACGCTTCCGCACCTGGCGGCTGCATCTTCCAACTTTCCGTGCTCGTTCTTAGGCATTGCCACGAAGGTTGGCTTCAAAACCGCCTCGTCAGAGGCTTAAGATAGAGCTGGATCCCTGCTATTGGAGCTTTGGGTGAGGAGTGACTGTACTGTGCGTACAAAGACGCTTGCTGGCTTTATGCCTCAGTGCCCGTTCCACAGAACCGCTCCAACTTGGGCCATTACCGTCATTCACAGAGATTTGTTACCACAGCGGCTAGCAGGCAGTGTCCTGTCAAGGTCTCCAACCTGACGAGCTTGCGCAGTTTGCTTTGCGACATCCTGTTTTGAACCTGCAAAGAACAATCACCAAACCCCGAATCCTCATGTCGCGGGACTTCTTGAGGCTAACCTCTAGATGATTGCCTGGAAAAGCGCGGTCGTGGCAATTTTCCACCGTAACACGCTGGCGATATTGACACGGAATATGCTGTGGTCATGGTGGTGCGGCAAGTATGGATGAAAATCAGGATGCCCATGGTCACTAATGTCAGTACTTTCACCTGCACGACTCCCCTTCCGGTTGTGGTGCAACTGCTTCTGATCGGCATGGTCATGGGCCACGCCCTAAAAGCCCTATTCAAGCCCTTTACCCGGTAAGCCCTGAACCCTACAAGCCATATCAGCCAAATATCAAGTGCACCACATGGTCCTGAACCTTGCTCCTAAACCCCCAAAACCCAAATGTATGTATGTGTATACATATACATATATATATACATACATGCATATTCTTTTTATTTGTTTATGTATATGTATAAGGCTTTACTCCCGAGTCTCAAGGCCCTTTTCTGCCAGAGGCAAGTAGTCGGTAGCAGCGCACGACTCCGGTCTAGTGCATTTCTGCTCAAAAAAACACGGCTCTACATCAAAATAGCCGTACTGTGTTACGATTACTGTTGCTATTATTGGTAGTACTTATTATTCCTATCGCTGCATCGTTAATAAGCCTAGTACTATGAATGTCTCAATGTACTGTATTGAGTTCTCAGCCCAGGACCTCGATGCTCTTGAGGCGCTTGTCGGTAACACGGTTGCCGGTTCCGAGAGCTGCCATGACCTGGCCGGAGGCCCGGGGGGCCACTACTACTATTTCTGTTACTATTGCTATTACTATTCTTACTATCATTATTACTATTACTATTCGTACTATCATTACTATCGTTATAACTGTTCGTCTTCTTCTTGATACGAATATGATGATTATGACTACTACCTTCTTGAACTATGATTACCGATAAAGTAGTATCACTATGTGTATATAATGTATGTATGTTTATATACATACACATTCACACACAAATACAATACACAAATCCAATTTACATTGTACTCTTCACCATCTGCCCCCCTCCCTGTGGCTTAGCTCTCGCCTCTTGCAACACGGTCTCACGGAGCTGGTCGGTGCTCATGGACCCGGCGCTCGCATGAAGGTTTCCTCGAAGCGAGGCTTCCGCACAAGTCGCGGCGAGGACGAAGAGAAGGCGAAGGGCCATCTTGAACATGAAATCGGGGGGGCCTGAAATGAACAGGAGCTGACACTGGCCAAGTGAGCTTACTTGAGCCTCGGCTGGCGCAAGGAAGGCATCGAGACCAAGCGCGCTTGGTCTTTGCTGAATTGACTGCAAAGCTCCGCTTTCAAACACAACACACAAGTTCCTGCCTCAAACAGAGAGTATGGCAATTATGATGGTACACTACTCAGCTCGGAGCCGCAACATCCAATGCTTGACGCCCTGCAACTCCAAGGCCCAGGCTCTCGCGCATGACCCTCCTCCAAAAGGGTCTTCACCTGTTTCGCTACGGTTTTGGGGTGGAAGATATCGTGCGCAAGATTGAAGTCTTACTGGCACTCCTTCCCCAAAACTCAGGGCGTTACGAGTTCTTGGTGGAAGTTTTCCCCGAAACCCCGGGATTTACGCGTTATTGGTAGATACTTTCCCCGAAGCTGAGGGATACACCTCATTCGACCAAGCTCTACAAAATCCAATCGGCTTGTCCAAAAGTCCGGAAGTCGACGTCTGCCGACACATCAATTTACAAAGCCCATGCCTATGCACCCATCTGATCATGTAGCTAGGACACCCTGAGCCGTGCGAGAAACCCTGCAATTCGGGCCTTGAGGTCAAAGTCCTCCTGCAGCTTCGTGCCTTGGATCCCAGGCACTGCTTCAGGGATAAGTTTTCTAATTTGAGGCCTCGCGTTCAGGAGTGTAGCCCTGTGTAGGCTCAGGCTGCGAATATGAAGAAGATGACACAGCCTGCACATGCATGCACAAACTAACTTCCGTCGGCCCCTTCACTTGCATGTGTGGACATCATGTACACCTTTTCACCTGATTTTTATGTTACATCGTACTATACTGTACTTTGGTGCTCTACATACCTACATACATACATACATGCATACATGCATCGCGCACACAACAAAAATTCCTGTCAATGGACAAGCCAACAACTACATAGATGTATGTGTGTATATATATATATACATATAGAAACAGAACATATACACATACACATCAAAAGCACATGTGAGTATTTCTCTGTGTTTATACTCGGCGTAGAGGCTTTATGTACTTCCTGGCTCTTGAACTATCTGAGCCAGTACTCCTCCCGCTCGATTACATGTTGTACGCACATACATAAACAGGTGCATACGCCCAAACATACATACACGTACACACAAACACATACATGCACACATTCATTCGTTCATGCATCCATTCATTCATTCAGGCATGCAGGCATACATTGAATTATATTACCGAGTACTGTCTTTTAGTGTATACCTTATGTATACACATGCATGCACACACACACACAGACAGCTAGCTACGTCGAAGAGCACTTCGGAACTTTTTCATGAGGCTTCGTTGTCTTCCACCGGTGTGAGCATCAGTTGGGAGTGCTGCTTTTGGGATGTTGGCGTGTAGTTGGGAGGGGGGCTCTAGAGCCAAAACATTGTCATGCTGACCATCCATCCATATAGCGGCCACGGCAGGACCCTGAAACAGAAACGAACGCTGGCTGAAATTGAAAAAAACCCGCAAAAACCTTCCACTACTGGGTTTTCTTGGGGCACGGGACATCTCTGTTCGGCATCCTTGGTTTTCTCGCACTGCAAGGCCTCAGAGAACAGGTTTTGGGATGGCTTCCGAAGTTGCATCTGTGGCACCCTGAGCATGGCTTACGTTTACCCTTGACATGATGCGAACTCTGCCGCAAAAAATCAGACCACTGAGCAACATGGGTGAAAGTTCAGCACTGCAGGATACCTGAAAGCTGCATGTGGAGGAATGATGGGACCGCCCTTGACGCCCTGCAGTGGGCCCCTGCGCCCTCCTGACTTAAAACGCGCAGGGTAGATCCCTGATTCAAAACCCCCGGCGCTTTCTTGAGTAGTGCGACCGGGATCCTAGCATTACGGGCCTGATATAACTCACCCTCATGACAATCATCATCAGCACCACTAACACTTAAAATTGTACATACTGCTGAAGGAAACGAAGGGGGAGTTGTTCTGTATATACGCAACGCGCCAGGGTGTCGAACCCACCTGGAAGTTCGTCAAGTGCTGAGTCGGGCTGGCTGCGCCCCGAAGGCGATGATGCCAAGAAGGGGGGAGGGCTTTGTTCCTTGGGGCTTAGGGCTGCTGCAGGGAGCAGGACTTTGCTTTACAAAGTTTAGGCTTTACGCCCTCACAAACTCGACAAGCCTGGCGAGGGAGTTTGGGGTTTCAGCTTTGCTAGGGTGTAGAGCTTCAGGGTTGTAGGGCTGAGGCCGTCGGGATTACGGGCTGGATCCCAACAAGCCTCCAGCATGTTTTGAGGCAATTACCCAGCAGGAAACCTTCACAAATAGCAGCCCTACATAAATGACATACCGGCAGCAAGCGTGATTTCAAGAAACTTTTCGCACGGTGCGAATGGTTACAGCCAGGGACTGGGGAATGCGGTGCATGCAGAGGTTCGAAGGGAGTTGCCACACCGGCGCGTACGAACGCCCATCTTGCTTTCTGTTCGAAAAGTTGTTCGAGATTGAAGACCTGACTCCGACGGCCGGCCCATGGGAGCTTGAGCCCTCCATGACTGCACTTGAATGCCACAGATACGTCACCTTGACAACTACCACCCCCAGCCTTACAAGGTGCCGTGCTGTTTCAATTCATTGGGCTGGTTCTGCCCATCCGTAGGGTGCTCCATGAATGCTGACAGCCACACTGCTGCAAACATTGTCCTACACAAGCCTGAATTGTTTGCAAGTACTTGGAACTCACTCCCCGCATTTTTCTGCACACGGCTGCTGGGAGGTCGCTGCGAAGCATGTCTGCCACTACCACAACTAACGATCAGGTTACTTGTTGGGATCTGGGTTTCCATCGCAGACACGGTTTGCTTGCTCCGAATGCCGAGGTCTTAGCATCGGCTTTTTATGGTTTTTGCCGAAGAAACACAGCCAGTTAAAGGCATTCTATGGAGAATGGAAGCTCTACAACCCTGCAAGCCTTCAATTCGGAGTCGTACTAAGTCGACAAAGAACTGCGTAGCGCTGGAGACCTTGAGGTATGGGGCAGCTTGTTTGGGAAATGCAAACATGTACCGGAAGAGATCGGAAGAGTGTTCGGAAGCAGCTCACTCTTGATCCCCTTCGAGGTCCTTGGTTCGTTCGGACTTGCAACCAAAACATTGCAGCTTAGGGTTTAAGGGGGGCATGGGGGGGTCTCCTCTACGGTGATTCTGAAAGAAGTTCTGGAAGAAATCCGCCAGCGATGGTCTGGGCAACACTCCATGTACAGCGGTACAGTGCAGTGATTGGTTGCCGTCTGGGCCTTAGACGATCTGATCCCCAGTTCTTGAACCCGAAACCGAAACTTTCAGGTAGCGGGCCGCGGGCCGAATGCTTGCAAGCAAGTCTCTTCTTCTTTCTGATCTTCGAGCTCTGCCTTTTTCTCGGGCTCGGCCGGGTCGTCGTAGTAGTCCTCCAGCGCACAGGTGGTCTTGGTTTCTCGGTATTCTTGCTCTCTTCAAAATCTGCGTTCAGACAAGGCTAATCCCCCTACTACATAAGACTCCCACTCCTGGGGCTCTCAGATAGACTTGTACAGGACTCGTAGCTCTAAACGGTTCAGGTAGCAGTAGCAGTTGCGGTTGCCGTCGGTGCCGCCGCCATTGTCGTCGACGTCGTGGTCTTGGTCGTGGTGGTCGTGGTGGGTAGCGCTGGATCGGCGTGGTGGTCGTGGCAGTAGTTGTGACACTGGTAACTGGCGGTAGCAGTCGAGGTAGTCGAAGAAGCCATACTAGCAGCAGCCGCTGCAGCGGTACTAGTCGTCGTGGGTCGTCGTCGTTGTCGTCGTCTGTTGTTGCTGTTGTTGGCTCAAGCATGGCAGCTCCCGAAGGTACTACTTGGAAGGTATTCCTTCATGTCTGGAGCGACGACTCCGCGCTAGCAAGGCATAGTATAGTACATAGAGCAGCCGTCAGGTGAAACCCAGTCCAACTCTCAATTTGCAGCTCCAGAACGAAGGTCACAAGGCAGCTCAATGCTCAAAGGTCACAAGACAGTTCAATGCTCAAGGACAAGGCAGCACCGGCATCTACACGATTCAGCACTCACAAACTCGATGCTTCGCCACTCATCGCTTCGGCAGCCCCCCAGGATCAGTGTAGTAGTCGTCGTCGTCGTGGTGGTGGTGATGGTGGTAGTGGTGATGGCGGTGGTGGTGGTGGTGGTTCGTACTAGCAGTAGCAGTAGCAGCAGTAGTGGTAGTAATCGTCGTCGTCCCGCATCAACACGAGACCAGTTCGAAAAAATGCGCAGAAGCTGTTAATTACTCTGAAACTTCGCGTCCTTCTGCACTGCCTTTCGGGTGATGCGGTCGACAGTCCAAACAGTTCTCGTTGGTGTGGACATCTTCTTCTGCAGCTCCCTGCAAGAGCAGTCAAGGTGTAGGTGCAAGATTGGGAGACTCGGGTCCGCACAGAAGTAGGGTATACGGGGCCCGTCGACCCCCTAAATCACAAAGGGATTGCGACTTATTGTGTCGGGACTTGTCTCTCTTCTGCAACCTTCGAGCCGTACATCTGGAATAAAGCAACAAACTTGCTACACACTTCTCGCACACGTGTAGATTGGCACTAGGATGCATGAGAAAATGGCGGGCTCTGCGCTTGAAACCACTTCGGTTAGTTCTTGCTTGTCAAAACATGAACGTAATCGAACAAACCAACATGTTTGTATACATACAGGTGCGTGTGCGTGTATATACATGTGCATATGCAGCAAATGCATGTGTGTTGTTGCATATAAGTGTGTGTGTGTGTGTGTGTATGCATAGTTGTAGTATGGACATCTTATCTATATATATATATATGTATACATGTGGGTTTGGCGTATATATATATATATAATGCGTGGTATGAGGAAGGCAGGACTGCGACATGCATCTCAATCACCCTTCCCGCCTCAGCCCTGAACCCCACAAACCTTCAGCTTGCTACCAGGCTGCCCAACTTTTTGGTTCATCTCGTAGATCAGCGACCCGATCTGATCCTCATAGCTTCAGACTTATCCAGCTTCACCTACGCTAGTCAAGGCGCGATGCTGCAGCAGAACATTGACCACATGACGTGCAAGCAAATTTGCACTGTACGTGCATAGTGGTGATGCTGATCGGATCCATGGTTATCAGTTATTGCCATAGCTCTTCGGGCAAGGCTACAAGTCGTGCTCCTCTTTGCTGATGCGACGACGTACTCGTCAGTACATTTTCGCTTTTGCTAAGTTTGAAGATAATACTTGCAACTGAAAACATGATTGAAATACATGCCGTGAAGGCACAAAAAGTGGATCTTTCTCGCGGCAAGGACACCAGCACGGACCCCGAACAGGTGTATATACCGATCGGATCCTGTTTATGTTGAGCCTATCTTGCAACCTCACTTTCAGATTCGTTCGTCTAGTGAGTCTAGTGTGTCCTCAAGCGACCTCAACCACCATGGGCCCTCTCTCGAACCTGGTGCCCTGGAGACCTTCGATGGCAACTTATCCTGCACCCTGAAGCTTGACTCTCGAGACTGCCCATTGCCCCCAAACGGCAATGTCCTGCTCCCGGGCCCAGTAAACCAAGCCAACCGTCCCTTGCACCCAATGCAGTCTCGAATATTGCAACAAACGCGAGGTCAATCCAGCATTATTGGCGCCCCAGTTTCTACAATCACTGTTTTGAAGTGTTCCGAGGCTGAGGGTGGCAGTTGAACTAAAAGAGACATGGCAATGGCATCGGTTCGAGTTCGACCTGGCACGCTTGTTGTTCGGAAAACCTCAGGTGACTGCGCGTACAACAGCTGCATGTAGTTAAGCTTTCCTTGGGAACCGAGGGACGAATCAAGATTCATGCGGAATACTACGAAAAACCCCAGCCCATCCAACAGCCCGCTCGCACTCCCCGAATGTGGTCCTCACCCTCCTGGTTTCGCAGCTCTCTCATCAAGGCCTGATAGGATTCTCGATGTAGGTTTTGAGATTATTTGGCCCTGCCTTATGTGGATGTCTCCAGCTTCAACATCGGTTGTGGGGTTTGGCAGGGCTTCCCACGACTAGGGTCGTGCCAGGAGTTCTGGACAAACGTTATTGTTTGAGGAAAGCGTAATCTCAATTTAATAAGTACCAAAGCAGCACAGTTTGTGGACCGGGACTTCTTGTTTGGATGCTATATAGGAAGTCTCCTGAGCAAAGTTCAGGGTTTTTGTCTCTGGCTGCATACAGGAGGGAGTTAGCAGGGCGTGCGGGCCTGGATCTAGGTAGACTTCATAGACTTCAACGAGCTAGGAGTGACGAGACCCATACACTTTGGGCTGGAAGGGTACCGAAAAACATCAAGGCAAATCAAACTCTCCCATCCTATTAGTGGCCCGCCAGCGGCTGCAGGGCTTTGCTGGTTCGCTGAGCTGAAGAGCACTCGGATTGGGTTGGGCCAGGTTGGATGTTTTCCACTCTTTCAGCGGCTACGCACTAGCCTTGAACCCTAGATCCGACCTGACCCGAGCCTTGGAAGCAACTGTGGAAAACTCTCCAATGCAAGCCAGAAGCCATGGCTTCGTCCATGACGGTCCAGTTATCTGTCACTTGCTGGTTGGACTGCTCGGTAAAGGCCTGAGCTTGGCAGCTTGACACTGCCATGTGGAG